ATATGCTAATTTTTTGGGACAGGCATTTTGGGTTTTCATGAGCTGTATGCCATAATCATCAGTATTACAACAATTAGACCTGAAATATTTCAGTTGGTGTGCAATGAATCTGAAATATATGAAAGTTTCATTTTTATCATTACATTATGGAAAATAATGACCTTTATCACAATATGCTATTTTTTTGAGAAGGACCTGTATATATTACAGATGTTTTTTTTCTTCATGTAAGTTTTTAAAGGTTATTTATTCCTCCATTTTTAATGAAACACTATTTCCCTTTATAAGAATTTTGTAACTTTCTAGGAACCTTATTTGATGTATTACACAAACATCTGTATATAAAGGTGGTGACTGTTTCTATAAAATTGCACATGTTTATTTCAGTCCTGATGTGCTCAGCGGGTCAGTCAATGAACCGTTGGAGCTTGGAGGAGCTGGTGAAGAGAGATCCTGAAAACTTCCTCATTCTTTTGCAACAGATCATCACAAAGACAAAAGAGGTAATGACACAAGGAGTGCATCATGTCACGGTATTTTAATAATGCAGTAAATATTACAGTCTTGTTGTGTGTGTGCGCTCAGGTTCAGGAGCAGTGTCAGTATGAGCTGGTGGTTCCCCTCGCCATCATGTTCACCTCCACTCTTCTGCAGGTACAGTTTGTCCACACCCAGGTGAACCTTTTTGTCCCCTCTTGAACCAATTCAGTGTTGGACATCACACGTGACAATGGGCTCAGTTCAAAGTCGCACTTCCTCTATTCAGACCACAATGACATCAGTTAAAATGTGTACTGTGACAGTTGCAACAGTACCTAAAGTATCAAGTAGAGTACTTAAAGTACTACATTTACTGGCCTCACAAGAACCAGTTTGTTTCAGCCAGAGATCAAGAGTTAAGTAATCATAAAACCAGAAGTCTGTCACGGTCAGCGGCCCCCGCTGCCCCCCCATCTGCCTAAGCCTCTGCTCTTTGTGTGGTTTCTGTTTCTGTGTCCTAAGCCTCTGCTCTTTGTGTGGTTTCTGTTTCTGTGTATCTGGTCCTGTTTTCCACTCACTCCTCAGTCTGCCTCTCCACTCCTCAGTTTTTATCATTCACTCCTCAGTCTGCCTCTCCACTCCTGTCACGGTCAGCGGCCCCGCTGCCCCCCATCTGCCTAAGCCTCTGCTCTTTGTGTGTTTTCTGTTTTTGTGTATCTGGTCCTGTTCTCCACTCACTCCTCAGTCTGCCTCTCCACTCCTCAGTCTTTATCATTCACACCTGTCCCTCATCAGCCACCTGCCCAGGTGCTCTCATTACTCACTCTCCCTCTGCCTTATAAAAAGCCTTTCTCTCCTTCACTCCTTGTCCGGTCATTGTTCTGTGTTTACAGACATCTCAGTCCTCTTCTGTCTTGTCTGTTTCTTGTCCACCTGATTATCTGCTGTGCCTTGTTTCTGATCCTGTCTGCCCAAGTAAGTTTTGCTGCACCGACAGCCTTTTGTTTTGTTATTAAAAAATAAATTATTTTTATTTTTAAACTCCTGCCTCGCTCGCCTCTCTGCAATTGGGTTCCAACACTGAGGATTGTGACAAAGTCTGTGTGGTCGATTCACTTCTGGGTACAAAAGCATATAGTGGTAATCAGTGATTTTTAGTTTAGCAGCTGATACGTTGAAGTTATGAAACATGCCATAAAAGTATTTTTGGTTATTGCTACAAGGCCTGTGATTAGAAAAACAAACAAAATAAACAAAACAGAAACATTGCCATTAAGACACACGGCATCACAATTAAACTTGTCGATGTTAATTAGGTTAGGAGCACACGTCAGTCCAGAGTGTGAGAATGACAGGTAACATGTCTCATTAACAAAATGAGCATAATTCATCGCAGTTCTCCCACATTAATTTTAAATATTTTATTCAAATAACTCTTAAACCTCAGGTATCACAAGATATTGATTTTTAAAACATTGTTTCAGGAGTACTTAATACAAACTGAAGGCCCAGACGTCTGACAGCAGTATCCCCTCATCTAGTCTCATAATGGACCTCTTATACCAGGGCTCTGCAACCTCTTTGATCAAAGAGTCATCTCTGCTTTCCTCATTAAATAAAAAAGAGCCCAGAGCCACGAAACCTGCTACAACTGTGATGATCAACTAGTGGTTCATGGGCAACTTTGAGGTAGTTGGAGGGGGCTTTTCTGATCATTGGGGTGACGTTTTAAAACTAGTAAACAATAATGAATTTCAACATTTATTGATGTTTTTATGTTTTGGGACAAAAAAATAACTCTTATGATGTAAAAAGTAACAACTTCTAGTTTCTACCTTTAGATGAAAATGAAACACTGAACTCTGCAGGCCTATGTGGCCTTTTATGGGAGGAGAAGTTAAGTACCCCACTTTGAATTAATAAAGTAAAAAAAAAAAAAGTGTTGTTCAAACATTTGCAGATAATTGACAAAAAAAAAATTGCCAAAACTAGCTTTTTTTGTTGTGGCTATAAAAAACAAAACAATTAAATTTCCAGTAAGTTTTGGTCAAAGCTTCACAGAGCTGCAGCTGAGGGACTAAAAGGCTGCATGTGGTCCCAGAGCCACAGGTTGCAGACCCCTGACTTATACCGTCAGACAAAAAAGAAAGTCCAACCTCTTTCAGTCTTAGTGGGGTGGGGGGTTTACATACATGTGTGTGTTAACACAATGCCAAGAAGGAAATACAACAGCAATGACCTGAACAACCATTTCTGCCATTCAGCCCTGGAAGAGTTAAAGATTATTTCCAAACTGAGTCCATCATTCTTCACACAGAAAGGGGATGATTATTATTATTATTATTGTTATTATTGTTATTGTTGTTATTATCATTATTATTGTTATTTTTATTATTATTATTGGGAAAACATTTTAGACAGTTGCCAATCTTCCTAGGAGTAAATGTCCCAGCAAATTCACCCCAAGGGCAGACTGTTCACTGCTCAGAGAAGCTGCTGGGGAGAGGGGGAATCATTGTTGCTCCAGTTTTGTAGAATAAATATTAGGTTTTTATTTTGACCTGATAAATAAATCCCAGGGTGGACTTTGTAATGTTTTTTTAATTTGCTGAATTAAATGCATCTCTACAACAAGAACAACAGAAAGGACACCTCACAAAGATTGTTTTCAAATGAAATGATTATAAACTGGTTTACGGTCTGGTTGCAGACGCCATACTGTCCAGCCGGCACAAATCTACTGGAGGAAGCCATGGGGGTGTTTTACCATTTCCTCACATGGCCTGAGCCTTACTGCAGCGTCTGCAGGGAGCTGCTCTCCACACTACAGCTGGAGACCAGAGCTCCTGGTAAATATCTACTTATTCTTTAATTATTCTTCTTTCCTCAAGTCTTTGACGTTCAACAGTTTCAGATTCTAGTTGTGTTCTTACAGTTTTTGTTGCAGCACTACCTCTAGTGACAAGTTGAAGAAGTGCATTCAATGTGATGCTTTACTTGAAGCAATCTGCATGCATAAATGTTCAAAGCTGCAGGTGTTATGAGCACTTCTTCAATCCACGACAAAAGGTCTGAAAGCGGATGTTATTGTAGCACTAACAGAACAAAACTCAGGAACTGATTGTAAAGTGTTGCAGAGAAATGTACAAAAAAATCATTAAAGGAAGTGCCTATAGGGGAAAAAGTCTATTTACAATCGATCAGTTGCAGACTTCGTCAGATTTAATGAACCCAAAGCTTTAAGGAACAACCAACGTGTGCTAGGACTCTGAATGTTTTGAGTGTTCTAACTTCAAGTTTTCTATCTTTTTAAGGAGCCCTGGAAGGGACTTCCTCTTCCCCTGGCACCCTCAAATCACAGCATTTTTTTTTTTCTTGTCTCGCAGGAATTTCCTTTCAGAGGCTGGTTAGAGAAGAGCAGGGCCTAAACACAGACAGCCAGAGCTCAAAAACGATGTAAGCTTAAACCATTTGTCTGTGTCTCCACATCTACTGATGACAGGAAACTGTGGTGTTCTGCACAGATGCTACTGTCTGTGCAAAATGTAATATTTGATTAATAAAATGAGGAATGACGCGTTTCTGTCAGTCAAATGGACAGTTCAGATTATTTGAATTGTGGTTTTGTGTAAAGAGTTTGAACAATTAATATCCTACCTGTTGTAGATGGCTCGTTGAACCTCAGTTTGGATAAATAATGTGTTTCTGACCAGATGGATGAGTTACAGCAAGTCTGAGCAGGGCAAAGTGTATTGCTGTCAACATAAAACAAGATAAAATTTCACAAAAGACTAGGGTAATTTTTAAAAACTTTTACGTTAGTCAGTTTTGCACTACATATTCTGTAAAAATTTTCATAAAGCCTTAGTTTGGAGAAATGGTTTAGTTCTGACTGGACTGACAAAATAACAGCTAGTCTGAATGGGGCCAAGACTAAAGTAAACTGGTGTCTTAAAGCAACTCCAGTTTCAAAATTTCTATATCAGTTCATGCTTTGTTATGCAGTGCAATGTCACTTTGGTTATTACAATGGAAATACAGTAGTCCCTCACTTATTGCGGGGGTTATGTTCCAGACACCCCAACGATAATTATTAATCCACGAAGTAGGGACGTTATATTTATTTTTAAATATTTAGATATATTTTAAGGTTTTATAAATCCCATACTCTTGCAATTTTCTTAACAATAATCTAAACTCTCAACGCTTTCAAAGAGCACAGCAAAAGAGAGCAGACAGACTGATTCTACGGTTACTCTTGGGGTTGGACTGGCCAATGGGAGCACTGGGACATTTCCCGGGGGTCTGGCCCGCTCAGCCATTACCGAAACGGACTAAAGGTTCGGTTCGGGTCACGCTTGATTATTTCAAAAATAAAATAAAATCCATGCTGCATGTGTGGCTCACTCAGGAATTACCCCCCCCCCCCCCCCCCCAACCTAGCCTTTAGTGCCCTTCGGCGATCACCGAGCGGGCCAGGTCACCGGGAAATGTCCTGGTGCTCCCGCTGGCCAGTCCGCCCCTCAGCACAATGCTCTGGTTGGTCGTCTTTCATCAACCAGCCAATCGTGTGTCGTGTACAATGTTATGTTGAAAACCCGCGAAAGAGTGAGTCCGCGAAAGTCGAATCACAAAGTATCGAGGGACTACTGTACTGGGATTTTTCCAGCTGGAAATGGTTCCAGGCTGCACAGAATGTGCTAAAGCTAGCTAAAGTGCTAAAATCTGCAGTCACTATTTGTCTTTGCAAAATGCATCATAATTGTATGTACATAAAAGCATAATGAGATATTATGAAACATTGTAAAAAGCTTATAAAACGGCAATTTCATGGAAGACCAAAATATTTGAGATTGGTTGTTTTAGGAAAGCATCAACTCACTTGTCATCCCACTCAGATTAGTTGTTAACTGTTAACTTGTTACTCTGGTCAGAAAACATCTCTATTATGCCAATCTGGTTAATCCAGTGATCCACAAAACCTATTAAAATATGTTAGGTGTATTATCGTTTCTACAGAGACAACTTAAAAAGCTGTTTGGTGTCCTTTTAGACTCCATTTAACAATTCATGCTAAATGAGTAGATAAAACAAATTCACCCTGAATTTGCTGTCAGAAAAGAGCATACCAGTCTATTTGAGTTAATTTCAGCACACAAGCTGCTTTTGCACCTTACCTTCTGCTTTCTTGCTAAAGGAAGCAGAAGGTGCATTCAAGTTATTGTGGTTCACAGTAAATTTATCTGAACTAAAATCAGCCTTACTTTAAAAGTAAGAAGAAAATAGCTGCCAATGTGCTTATTTTACCCTGGCCTCGTTTGTGGTTGGTACTTACTGGATCCGGAAAATCATTCTTGCACCCTTGTTTACACACAAAACATCACAACAGCTTTAAAGCGTCCTGTGCGAGTCGTTTTTTTCTACAATATGGCTCATTCAGATGTTCCTTCTGATTCCACATGGTTGCTGTTGGCAGGACTGTGTTGCTGATGAACCCAGGTGAGGTTCCCGCTGACTTCCTTACTGTGGCCGAGCAGCTCAGCCACATTCAGCACTCGCAGAAAGAAATCTACATCATGCTGATCAAACACGCCTTCCAGTCCACGCTGGGCACCAAGTACCCTCTTCAAAGCATCCACAGGGCTCTGCAGGTACGACCTGAAAGCCTGAAACTCTCTGTTCATTATTTACTGGTGGAGAAAGTTTCATATTCTTTGTTCTTGGAAGTAAAACCTGTGATGCAGTGTGCATTAAGAATTACTTTATTGCTTTTTCAGCCAAAAACTGTGAATGAACTGGAGGAAATTTTTGGTGCCGTGAGTGACATTTTGGAGATGACTGCCTTAATGAGCGACCCACTAAAAGCACATAGTCATGTCATCCAGGAACTGGAGAGTCTGAGGAAAACTCTGAAAATCTTTTCTTCCAGTGGGAGGAAGTCTGATGGTAGGAGGGATGCTATTAAAATTTCTGATAACATTATGAAGGGTGCCAGTGAAGCTTCTGCTTGCAATTCTAACAAAAAATAATTTTCTGCTCTAAAACTCAACAGGATGCCTAATAATAAATATTCAATGTAAGCAGACAAAATTTCAACATTTTGACGCATAAAATATACAAGAAGTTTAAAAATGAACAAAGGTTAAAGTTGCTGCCATTTGGCTTTTTAATACCCATTGAGCAAACAGTTTTATATATTTTATGGGTTTGCCCAAAGCTGTGAGAGTGCTAACAAATAAAATTGCAGTTGAATAAATAAATGTCATTGTTTTCTTCTTTTTTTGGCTTTTCCCTCTTCAGGGGTCGCCACTCAAGTCATCCTCCATGTCACTCTGTCCTCTGCATCCTCTGTCCTCACTCCAACTACCTCCATGTTCTCTCTAACTGCATCCATATATCTCCTCTTTGTCTTTTTCCTGGCAGCTGCATTTCTAACATCCTTCTACCAATATACCCACTGTCCCTCCTCTGGACATGTCCAAACCATCTCAGTCTGGCCTCTCTAACTTTATCTCCCAGTTGTTCAACTTGTGCTGTACCTCTGATGATCTCATTCCTAATCTTATCCATCATGTCTCTGTCTCCAGACCAGACAACATAGCAGGTCTCACAAGTGTCTTGTAAACTTTGCCTTTGAACTTTGCTGACACTCTTTTGTCACAAATCACTCCTGAAACTTTTCTCCATCCACTCCATCCTGCCTGGACTCTCTTTTTCACCTCCTTACCACACTCCCCATTTTTCTGGACAATGGATCCCAAGTCCTTGAAGTCTTGCCCCTTTGTGACCTCTGCTCCTTGTAGCTTCATTGTTCCACCGGCCTCCCTCTCATTCACACACATGTACTCTGTCTTACTACAGCTGACTTTCATTCCCCTTCTTTCAGTTGCATACCTCCACCTCTAAGTTCTCTTCCACCTGTTCTCTGTCCTCACCACAGATTACAATGCCATCTGCAAACATCATAGTCCACGGGGATTCCTGCCTGACCTCATCTGTTAGTCAGTCCATCACCAGAACAAACAAGAAGGGGCTCAGAGCCGATCCTTGAGCAATCCCACCTCCACCTTGAAGCTATCTGTCACTCCTACAGCACATCTCACCACTGCCCTACATGTCCTGTACCAGTATAATATACTTCTCTGCCACTCCAGATTTCCTCATGAAATACCACAATTCCTCCTCCGCACCCTGTCCAATGCTTTTTCTAAATCAACAAAGACACAATGAAGTTATTTCTGACCCTCTATGTATGTCTTCTTTAGCATCCTCAAAGCAAAGATGACATATGTGGTGCTTTATTGGCATGAAACCACACTGCTGCTCACAAAGAGTCACCTCTCATCTAAGTATAGCTTCCACAATTATCTCCCAGATCTTCATCATGCGACTTCTCAGCTTAATTCCCCTGTAGTTGCTACAACTCTGTACATCACCCTTGTTCTTAAAAATGGGCACCAGCACACTTCTCCTTTCCTCAGGCATTTTCTCACCCTCAGATATACCATTGAATATTTGAGTCTAAAACCTCACTGTCATCTATCCAAGCCATTTCCAAACCTCCACTGGTATGTCATCAGGTCCTACTGCCTTCCCCTTCTTCTTTCTTCTCAGAGCTTTCTGAACTTCACCCTTACTAATTTTTCTCACTTCTTGGTCCATGGCTTATATGATCTCTACACTTGTTTCGCTTGCATTATTTTCATTCATTAACTCCTGAAAGTACTCCCATCTTCCCATCATACTGTTCTCATTTGTTAGAACATTAACATTCCTATCTTTAACAAGCCTAACCTGCTGCACATCCTTTCCTGCCTGATCCCTCTGTCTCACCAATCAGTATAAGTCTTTCTTGCCCTCTTTAGTGTCAACCCCCCATACAACTCATCATATGCCTTTGCTACCTCCCTCTTTGCTCTACATTTCATCTCCTTATATTCCCGTCTCTTCTCTTCAGTCCTCTTACTGTCATATTTCACTGTCATACACAATTTTGTCCCAACTCAAGTGCCACATGTCAGCCAGCTTTCTATATTTGCCTGTTATTGTCCCCACATTTAGAGTTGCAACCCTCAGTCTTACATTCTTGACTTTCCTCTTCTCTTCTGTCCCCTGACACATTTCCCTTCTCGTGATCTTCTACTAACAGTAGTACAATTTCCACCAGAGCCCTGTTTGTCAACAGCAACGGAGGCAGTCATTGTTAACACGGGCCTCAACTGATCTGTTATGGTGTCGCTTTGATGAACTTGTATATTAGTTTTGGCTAAAGTGTTTTATGTCGGATGCCCTTCCTGACACAACCTTCACCATTTATCCGGCTTGGCACGGGCACAAGAGATACACTGACTTGTGGCACCTGTGGTACACTGGTACTCCCTAGTGGCTTGTTTATAAAAAAACATCCGAATAGTGACAATGCACATTCAGTAAATGGCGTCTTTAACAAATAAAATGTTGGCAATTCTATGATAATATACATGAATGTATTTTTATTTGTGCTTTGTATGATAGAAGTTTTTGTTCTTTGCTTAGGAATGCTACAGACGTTACCTTTGCCTACAGCCAAAACCTACATGTTTCACTGGGAAAAGGATAACTTTGGTAACATTTGCAGCCTAATACTCATTCATATATGTAGAATTTGTCATCTGTAGCTAAATGTAAGTTCTTTTTTTTTCTATAATAATGAATATTTTGTTTCTAACAGATGTTCTCAACACACTGTTGGAGGAAGAACCTGATGATTTGGTCACTAATGGGCAACCTCTTGAGGAGAGGGAGGTTGAGTTTGGTGATAATGAAGACGATGAGGAGGAGAAAGAAGAGGAGGAGGGACATGGAGTGGAATCAGCCTCAATCATCCATGATGGCTACAATGACAGTTATCGTGCTTCCACCTTCTCCACCATCTCCACCACCTCTAAAGACTCCATGTTTTCCACCCTTTCCGGCACCTCAGGATCCTACTCCCCTTCTCTCGTCTCTGTCACCTCTGGAGTCGACAGCGACTACTTTGAGGATTCTGACGACTACATCAGCTCCTCTCCGGTGTCAGAGAAATGTTCCCCGAGGTCGAGTAAAGTATCATCTCGTCTCTGCCAGCACTTCCACCGATTATTTCCCAAACCCAAGCAAACTCGGACAATTTATCGAGCCAAGAGCTTGTGTAATTCTGATTCAAAAGAACTCATACTGGTGCGAGAAACTCGTTCCAACTCGCTGCCCCAGCAGGTCAAGTTATTTTGCCCTGAGCCCTTACCCCAGCTTCAAACTCAATCGCTCAGGCACATCTGCTTTCGAAGGAGGCCTATTCTGAGCAGTGATGAAGACAGTAAGAACATTACGCTCAGGGTGGTGGTGTTTGGTGCTGATCATATGGCGGGGAAGGTGGCCCGAGCATACAGTAGCCTGAGGATGAAGGAGAGTGCATCTCCGCGTCTTACGAGAGTCTTTAAACTCAAGTTCTACTTTGTGCCTGTCAAGAGAGACTCAGTAATTGGACATCGAAGATCTTCTACTCCTTTGGTACAATTTGGGTCTCCAAAAGGAGCAACCTTGTCTTGTGTAAGTAGCAAAAATTCTCAAACTAAGCTTTAAAGCTTTTGTGGAACCGATAATACAAAGTTCTGTCCTCAGTTGTTCCTTTGGAGCCCCAACAATGGAGCATCTCCCTCCAGCTCACCCTATTCGTATTATATTCAACATCTTTTTCCACTAGCCATCCTCTGCACATGTCCATGTCTTCAAACCTCTCAAACTAATCTATCCCTCTGATATACTCACTTCCTATGTTGTCCATTTTGGTCAGTCTCAAGGAAAAGCATAACTTTTTTTGTCTGTCACTTCCACTTCTCCCTAATCTTTTTGTTAGCACCACCATCTCCAAATCATTCATCAAAGCATACTTGCTACCATCTTTTAAAACTTTCCTTTCACGTTTGCAGCTATCCTTCTGTCATAAGTAATCCCTGACTGTTGTCTTTAACCACTCTACCTTGCCTGCACTCTTTTCCTTTTTTGTATTCTGCCCATTGTTTTGGATGATTAACCCCAGGTACTTAAACCCATCCACCTTCAATACCGCTTCTCCTTTTAACTTCACTTTTCCACCTGCCTCATGATTCTATCTGGCTTCTACTGACTTTCATTTCTTTTCCAGAGCAGGCCCTCCACCTCTCCAGGCTCTCTTCCACCTGTTCCCTACTTTATCTACAGATCACTGTCATCTGCAAACAAATCCGTAGCACATAAATTAGTTGCTTTTGTCTCTTTACAAAAACGATATATAAGTGGGTCAGCTTCCCTATTTGCTCACAATGCCGTTTCTGCTCTGATTAGTCAGCTCAGCCATCATGAGGTCTACTGAAATGTGAGAATCTAACAAAGCCTTTCATTCAGTGCAAATGGATGTTAAATGGGTATTAAAATGGTTTTCCAAGACATTACAGTCTTCAAAAATAGATGAAAACATACAAAAAAAATTTTTTTCCAGATGTTCTTGTAAGAATGAAATCATGCCCAAACATTTAGCTTGAAGTTAGAATACCTGGCATTTTGTATAAAACACAAATCTATTAAATAGGAAATTTGTACAGTAAAAGCCGACAAATAAATAAAATAATTTAAAAAAAGAAAACAGTTTTTTTTTCCCCTGCTGCTGTTTAAGTCAATTATTTTTCCTTATGCAGGATCAGAACCACATGGGCACAGGTGACAGCACAAATGACATTGCACATCTACTGGGCATGTTGGACCCGTGGTACGAAAGAAACACACTCAGCTTGCTCAAGCTTCCTGCCAACGTTGTTTGCCAGGTACAAGTGGAACAACAACAGCTTTTTACTGTCACCTGGACTCAGAAATACCTGTTATCAACGTCTGGTGTTTAGCTTGGACATTTTCTCACCACCTCACTGTGTAAATATACTATATATATATATATATATATATATATATATATATATATATTGTAAATGTTGTTGCAGCAAACCTCAAAAACTGAGTCGGAGTCCTACGATAGTTCGTACGAGCAACGCCTACCTATCCTAGCTGACTTGGTGTTGTACTATTGCCGCTTTGCTGCTCGGCCAGCACTAATCCAGCTTTATCAGGCAGAGGTAAGAAACATTGTGTACCTAAAATACACAAACCTTTTTTTTTTCCCTACGATAGTACCATTATTTGAACTGGAGTGGGACAAAGAGGGTCATAATAACCAAGTTTCCAATCCACTGACTGTTTCTGTATTTGTCTGTTTTGCAGCTGACGCTGGCCAGTGGAGAGAGGAGGACTGAGGTGTTCATCCACTCCCTAGAGTTGGGTCACACGGCAGGAACACGAGCCATTAAAGCCATGGGTGAGCGTGACACGGGACAAACACCCTTCATGGCAACCTGTCCATAGTTGCTTATTATGTGGCTGAGAACAAACTATAATTATAGAAAAGAACTTTGGCAATTTCTATAACATGATTCACATCACTTTTACTTTGCTAGTTTTGTTTTGTCTCCACTGCTTCAACATCAGATATTTGTTTTCTGAGCGGAAGTAAAAGTCCACTTGAAGCCGTTTACACCTTCTTTCCCTCAGTTATTGATTTTCATACACTCCATTATTCACTGTTTTATGAAATTTTCCTTAAGCAGACTGTGTAATTCCATGCTTTAAGGATGTTTACGTCTTACTGTATTACCAAATTGCTTATGTTGTTAATCACCACTACATGTAAGAGTCTTTGTCATTTTTTGGTATCATTTAGGTGCAGCCAGTAAACGGTTTGGCATTGATGGAGACCGAGAAGCTGTGCCTCTCACGCTAGAGGTGGTGTACAACAGGGTAAGGCTATTTATACACTAAAATCCCATCTTTAATCTGAGCTTTAAAATAATATTTATCAATAAAATATAAAGTTACCAACAAGATAACGCATCATGATCCCTTTTGAGACATCCAGCTGCTTTCAGTCACTCCACACTGAGAAGATGATGTACCAGAATAAAGTGCCACATCAGAAAAACAGGCTAACCAATCATATGTTTCCTGTACTGACAAGCTTTTCTCCTGATGACATAAAAATAGATTACTAAACACACTGGAATATTTTAATAATGGTAAATTGACTCCTAATCTTTAATTGTCTTTAATTTCCTAAAACAAATTTCAGACATGGTACCCGCTTTGACATCTTTGCAGTTGTCTATTTGCCATTATAATCCTGATGTCTCATCATGATCCTATATATTTGGCATGGTCAGGATCTCATGGAAATTTCATCTGAAGTTGATAATGATAGCTTCATATTAAACTTAATAATTTGTTGAGCTGTGGCTGTTGGAGATGCAAAATCGAGGCATACTGGTGAGAAAATAAGCAAATGTTCTATTACTGGTACAGTCTCACTGAATTTAGTCATGGTTGAAAATGTTGGCAACCCTGAAATCTTTCCAGAAAATCAAGTATTTCTCCCAGAAAATTATTGAAATGACATGTTTACACATGTTGATTTCCTTTGTGTGTTTTGGAACAACAACAAAGGAAACTAATGGAAAAAAAAAAAGCCTAAATTGATATAATTTCATGCAAATCTCCACAAATAAGCCAAAGTTAATGGGAGTTTTTCAAAATTGTGTGTAAATAACTTTGTTTCCAGCATGTGATGCTCACTTAAAGTCAACTGTGGCAGGTAACAGGTGCGCAATATAAAAATCACTCCTGAAACCAGACAAAAAGGAGAGAAGTTGACTCGATCTTTGTTTGTCACACTAAGCATGGAGAACAGAAAGAGAAGAAGAGAATTGTCTGAGGACTTTAAAACCATAAATGTGGAAAAACACCAACAATCTCAAGGTTTCAAGTCCATCTCCACAGATCTTGATGTTTCTTTGTCCACGGTGTGCAACACAATCAAGAAGTTTACAACTCATGGCACAGCAGCTAATCTCCCTGGATGTGGACGAAAGAGAAAAGTTGATGAAATGTTGCAACGGAGGATGGTCAGGATGGTGGATAAGCAGCACCAATCAAGGTCCAAAGAAATTCACTCTGTCCTGCAGGTTCAGGGTGCATCAGTGTCAGCACAAACTGTCCGTCAACATTTGAATGAAATGAAACGTTCTGGCAGGAGACCCAGGAGGACCCCACTGCTGACAAAGATATAAAAAAAGCTAGACTGCAGTTTGCCCAAATGTACGTGAGTAAGCCAAAATCCTTCTGGACCAACATCTTGTTTACAGACGAGACCAAGATGGAGCTTTTTGGTAAAGCTCATCATTCTACTGTTTATCAAAAACTAGATGAAGCCTACAAAGAAATGAACACAGTACCTACAGTCAAATATGGTGGAGGTTCAGAGATGTTCTGGGTTAGTTTTGCTGCCTCTGGTGCCTTGACTGTGTGCAAGGCATTATGAAATGTGAAGATTGTCAAAGGATTCTGGGTCTCAATGTAGGGCCCAGTGTCAGAAAGCTGGGTTTGTGTCCCAGGTCATGGGTCTTCCAGCAGGACAATGACCACAAACAGACTTCAGGAAGAACCCAGAAATGGACGGAAACAAAGCACCAGAGAATATCCTGATGCATGCTCAATAATCCAGGTAGAAAAATCCAAAAAAGTTCAATCTGGTCCTCTGGACATTCAAAAAAACAAAAAACAAAACAAAGCAAAAAATATATAGAAACGTTTTGTCTCTCATCCGAGAGACTTCCTCAGTCTGAGGTGCTGTATTCAGCTCAGTCTCTTAAACAGCAGTGTAAGAGGGGGACAGTTGAACCCGGAGGCCTCCACCCCTGTTTAATGATGGACGATTTCTTTTCACAAAGATGGCCTCCTTTACTCCTCTCTCAAACCATCGTTCCTCTCTGTCCAGGATGTGAACATCTTCATTCCTGAAAGAGTGACCGCTGGCCTGGAGATGAGTGTAGACCGCAGAATCCTGGCCTGATGATGTTACCACTTACCACTTTACCACTTTATTTATAAAGCACTTAAAACAGCTACAAAGCCAACCAAAGTGCTGTACAGACAAAACAACAGGTAACACACCAAGCAAAATACAAAATGAGGTAAATCAAAATATAGACATAAAAATGATGCAGATAATGAAGACAAACCAGTGTGGAGCATACAGGATCAAAACACAGATCATCTGATGTTGAAAGCTACTGAATAGTAGTGAGTTTTTAAACGGGACATGAAAACCGAGAGGGAGGGGGCCTGTCTGACAAACAGAGGTAACTCGTTCCAGAGTCCTGGTCCTGCTACAGAGAAGGCCCTGTCACCTCTGCGCTTAAGATGAGTTCCTGGAACTGTGAGGAGCAACTGGTCCGCTGACCTCAGGGAACGTGGTGGGACATACGGTTGTAGCAGATCAGAGAGATGGGGGTGGGGGGTGGGGGTTGGGGGGTTGGGGGGGGTGCGACACTGCTCAGTGATTTGTAGACATACATGAGTATTTTTGAACTGGATTCGAAAGTGAACCGGTAACCAGTGCAGTGAGGCCAAAACTGGTGTTATGTGCTCTCTTTTGCCTGTACTGGTTAAAAATCGGGCTGCAGCATTCTGGACCAGTTGTGGTAGTGAGTAGATGTTGATCTTCTGTGCTGGGCCATCCTTTTGGCCAGTGGCTGTTTAGTTTCCCCGATGTAAGACTGATCACAGCCCTCCTGACACTGAACAGCATACACAATATTACTCTGTTTGTGCCGGGGGACTTTATCTTTGGGATGAACCAGTCTTTGCCGTAATGTATTTTGGGGTTTAAAAGCCACTGGGATGTTATAATTAGAAAATAAACGTCTCAGTTTCTCTGATACTCCCTCAACATATGGAATGACCACTGGTCTGGGTTTCTCCTTTTCACCTGATGGCTGACTGGAGTCCTGTTTGGGTTTCTTCTCTGCTTTCAGGAAGGCCCAGTTAGGATATCCACATTGCTCTAGAGCCTGTCTTGTGTAGGATTTCTCCTTCTGCCTGGCCCCTGAGTTAGTGGGGATGCTGTCTGCTCTGTGATACAGAGTCCTGATGACTCCCAACTTGTGCTCCAAAGGGTGATGGGAGTCAAACTGCAAATACTGGTCTGTGTGGGTGGGTTTGCGGTTTACCTCGGTTTGCAAATGTCCTCTATCAGAGGCAGAGACCTCACAGTCCAAGAAAGCCAACCTGCCATTTTTTACATCTTCTCATGTGAACTTGATGTATTTATCCACAGAGTTGACGTGGTCAGTAAAATGTTGGACTTCCTGAGATTTAATTTTAACCCAGGGGTCGTCAACATACCTGAACCAATGACTTGGTGGTGTCCTTGAAAAGGACGTCAAGGCTCTCTTTTCTACCTCCTCCATGTACAGGTTGGCAACAATAGGAAAAACTGGAGACCCCATAGCACACCCATGTTTCTGCCTATAATATTGCTCCCCATATGTGAAGTAGGTTGACTACAGGCACAGTTTCAAGAGTTGACACAGTTGTTCTGAGGAAAGCGTGGTCCTGCTGCTCAGAGTGGTGTCTGATTTTAATCTTAAACTGACCACCTCTACTGCATCATCAACAGGAATGCACGTAAAGAGTGATGTGACATCAAACGAGACCATTGTTTCATCAGTCTCCATGATGACATCCCTCACCTTATCCACAAAGTCCATGGTGTTCTGTATGTGGTGTTCTGCGCTGCCAACTAAAGGGATGAGTACAGACGCCAGATATTTGGAAACATTGTAAGTGACAGAGTTAATCATGTTAACAATAGGTCTTAAAGGTACACCTTGTTTGTGGATTTTAGGTAAACCATACAGACTACGTGTGGCCTCCTCTGGGTACAGTCTGTGGTACAGAATATGGTCAATAGCCTTGTCCTGCTCCAAATTTTTCAGGCAATCTATTAACTTCTTCTTGTAACCACTTCCTGGATCTATTTTCAGAGGTTCATAAGTGGTTAAGTCACTAAGGAGTGTCATAACTTTCTCATGATAGTCTTTCTGGTTCAAAATCACTGTGCACCTTCCTTTGTCTGCTGGGAGAATGATGATGTTTTTGTCCTTGCTAAGAGTGGTGAGTGCAACCCTCTCCTCTCTACTGATGTTGGAAGGTGGTGGTTTGGCATTGCTGAGGCAGGCTGAAACTTTGATTCTGAGCTGTTCTGCTTCACCCTGTTTCATTTTGTTGTTGCGGATGGCTGATTCTGTGGCTGTGATCATCTCCACCAAAGGAATTCTACTTGGTGCAACCGCAAAGTTCAGTCCCCTGGCAAGAATCTCTGTCTCCGGCTGGGTGAGCTGTCTGTCAGATAAATTCTTCACCCACTTTTCTGTCTCCCGGCATGTAATTGACTACTGGAGTGTTGTCCTACACTGAATGTGTTGTTATTGGAATAGTGATGGTGTTGATGAGTTATTAGTAAGTTAAACTTGTTTTGTTGTCGAGTCTTGGGACTTGACATGCTGTGCTAAGCGTGCCTGATCTGTACAGTCCAACACTTGCTGAAGTGTGGTCTGATCTAGACACATTGTTGGCCCAGCACAGAAGATCAACATCATCAGGCCAGGATTCTGCGGTCTACACTCATCTCAAGGCCAGCGGTCACTCTTTCAGGGATGAAGATATTCACATCCTGGACAAAGAGGAAGGATGGTTTGAGAGAGGAGTAAAGGAGGCCATCTTTGTGAAAAGAAATTGTCCATCATTAAACAGGGGTGGAGGCCTCCGGGTTCAACTGTCCTCCTCTTACACTGCTGTTATTGCTAGTATCACTCAACCCCCTGTGAATAGTAAACAGCCATCAGTGTGCTAATGATCGTTGTTAGGCTGATGGTCCTTCTTGAGCATGTGAGCAGCTGGTTTTG